GTAAAATTTAATCGAAAATATGAGATAAATTTCGTAACTCATTAATATTTTACAATCAAAAATTTAAAAGGTTTAAATGTGATAGGTAGAAGAAGAGATGAGAATCGTGTAAATGTATAAAATGACTTGGAAAAAATAAAAGAAAATGGTAGAGAACGAATAAAATGTAATTTGCATTGATTTGATCTAAAGAAGGGATAAATGAGGACTATCTAAAATGTTGTATAGATTAGTGTTGAGGGAGATCTTAGAATGGTTTGATTAATACATTACAATGGGAGAATATTGAAAAAAAATATTCTATTAAATAAAGAAAATTATTGACGTTTCTGTGAAGGAATTAAGAGTTTGCGTGATAGGAACATTGTTAATACTTGTAAAATCTTGGATCTGAATCAGAAAAGATATGCAAGATTTAAAATACGTAAATAATATTAAATTCTAATACTTTTTAATAATGATAATACTTTAAATCAGTTTATCTTTTCGCCATCGACAAGAATTTATGTCATGATATTTTGAAAATAAATTTTAACTTTTATATTCTAGCATTTTATTTTTCATTTCTACGTTCATTTAATGCCAAAGATAAACATTATCTAGAACATTCTATCTTTGTTTTATGTAAAGTGTAAATATACTTCATTTCAATTTTCTCCTTTTCTTTCTTTTTTTCCATGCAGATATTACACATTCTGTACTTTTATTAGTTACTTTCTGACATTTTTAAAAGATAAAATTACATAAAGTTCATTCAACTTAACATTTAAACATTTAATCAACTTGCTTCTCTAGTATTAAAGTTTGCAATTCATTTAAGCAAAAGTTAGTTAAAATAGAAATTATTATAAAGTTAACTTAATGAATTAGTAAAATATTATATATTAATATTTTAAAACAATATTCTCTAAACAATATGAAAAATATTGCANATATATTAATATTTTAAAACAATATTCTCTAAGCAATATGAAAAATATTGCAATCATAAATAGTGCGTAAAACATTATTGAAGATGCTGTCAATCATCGTTTTTCCTATTATAACTACACAGCTATTGCTTTCCAACAGCACATCACTGCAAACCATAATAGTTCGCATTACAGGAGTTTATTGATTTTTATATTTGATGATAACTATCTTTTAAATAATTTTAAAATATATAATTCTTGTTCAGAAGATTCGGAGATGACATTTTAACAGCCCCAGAAGAAGCTATTACTTATAAAATATTATAGTTTGAGTATATATATATCATCAAATTTACTATAAATTTATTAAAAATTATAAAATTTTGAAGCTCTAATTTTATAAAAATTTGTTTTTTACATATATTGTTTGGTTTAAAATTATTATTTTTTTATTTTTAAAATCGTTTTTATTGAACTTTCGTGAATTCTTTTCTTTCTTTTTTTTTGTCATTATACCATTCTTTTGCCTATTTCCTACTTCTATTCTCGGTTTCTTTGGAAAGAGTCGCAAGTAATTCTAAATATATAACATATTCAAATGTTATTTTTACTTCTTATAAAATCTCTAAGTTTTGTTTTTCCATATTCTATTTTAATAGCAGCGAACTAAAGTGCGTAAATAATGAAATAAATTAATCAATATTTAATCAAGTCATATTAATTCCTTACTTAACTGACATAACGAATAATAACATAAATAAATTATATAAGTTAAACATGTTCATATTTGTCATTCTTTACCATACCTTGGCTATTTGTTTTTTTTTTAAATAAAACAAAATACTGGGGAAGATTTACTATGCAATACATTGGAATTCTATGAAGCGAAAAGTTCAATTTCCGGATTAAAAACTAAGTAGAATTTCTACAAATTGATTTAAAATTTTAACATTTCGGTTGTTTTAAATTTAAATTCTTTTAAATAAAATAAACTCTGCTGTAAATATTTATCTATCACTAATTACCTGCGAGGACAATATCTAAAAATACTAATTACCTGCACTTGCTTCATCAGCGTAATCTAATCATTCTGTTTTTAGTTATTAATGTCTTCTTAAAAAGACTATTTAAATGTGTTTATGTTAAGAATATAATTATACACTTATTTAAAACATACACTAATTTTTGTTAAAGATAAACCGAAAAAAATTACATTTTAAATTATTTTTAAGTAAATTAATTCTGAAGATATGAAGACGAGTGCTTTTTAAGTAGCAAAAACCTTCAATTCTTTCTGTTATTGATTAAATATTCTGTTTGAAGCCGCAAAATGGAAGATATCGAAGCGACAACTGCAGTAACTGGAGATGTGAAATCCAGCAACTGCCTCGCCCAGTTATTGACAATATTAATGGAAGTTGCTGGAGCAGATTTTTCGACCTGATGTATAACTCGACATTGCTAGTGAAATCTTAGCTATCCCCTTCTATTTTATTATGGACAATGGTCCATTTCCTCGACAAAAAGCCGATATACAATCCATAATAAATCCCAGAAAACTGATTTAAAGTTTCATATTTTTAAATTAAAAATTTTTATAGATGTGATTCTGTCAAAGAATATGTTATCTTTTTATTATGATTATACTCTATATATACTCGTATTACAACTCGTAGAAAAATAACGATTTTTGCTGAAGTTAAATTTTAAAAAAAATAAAATAAAATAAAACATAAGCAACATTGACATTGGAAAGGTTATAACACACAGACGGACGAAAGAGAGGAAAAGAATAAATTAAAATATTGATCAAGCATCATTTTGCTAAATTAAGATTTTCTACATCAAATAATATTTGTTAAAGCATTAATAACAGTAATGTAATCATTATATGCACTGTATAGTACATCTACAAAAATAGAAAATTAATTTTCTATTCTTTCAACTCCATTCAAATTATATTTTAATTGACTTTGACTTAAATAAAGTATAAGTATAGTTAGAATTAAGAGAAGCATTGTCCCATGTGAATTCTAGCAATTACTCTTTAACATTACTAATGCATTGAGTAACGAACTGTAATATTCCACTTAACGCTATCATTACAGTAGGTTTCTCTATCTTAAGATTATATTTTCATTTTAGAAAAACTAATTTAAATAATTTCAATTTTATACTTATAAAACGAGTTTAAATGATAACATAAACTTTACTTAAGCATTAAAGGATATTTCTCCTCTTGTTTTACTTGGAAACTGCTTTCTAAAGATCTTTTAATCTCTTCTCTAAACTTAAATTTTGAAAATAAATATTTTTATAATCTAAGTTTATCTGTGTATAAGCTTATATATATCTTTATATAAGCTTTAAACTTATAATTTATAGATATAATTGCATTTAGGTGCTATATAATAAGTCTTTACGACATTTATATATAATTCATTAAAAACTTTATTAATAAAACAGTTAATATTATACTTATTTAATTAGTTTTAGAATAAGGACTAGATGAGTTTATCTTTTATTCTATAACTAATTAAAATAAATGTTCCATCGCTTGATTAAATTTAAACAAACTAATCTTGACTAATTTTAAAATCAAATAATGACGCAAACAATTTGTAAAATTATTTGAGGAATTTCCTTAAAGAGAAAGTAATTCTAATTCGTATAATTAAAGAACGATTGTGTAATAGCCAATCAGCAATAAATTATCATAAAACTTTTCTAAGAACGTTTATCTTATTAGAAAAGTTTTAAAGCAAAAATTGAGGGATGGAGAGATAAGAAGAATACATGCTTGAAGAATCTATAATGATACTTTAATGAAAGAGTAAATTCATAGATCTAACGATACTATTGAAGGTGGTAATGATGAAGATAAATAGTGACGTAAATGTAAATAACTGTATATGCACTGTACGTATGAAATTGAAAGAAGTTTATAATTAAGTCGTGATGAAAGTCTGATTGATTCTTCAATTAGGCTAAGAATTCTGCTTCAAAGCAGCACATTTTTACGAATTTCTAGCAAAAATATTTTAGTTTTGCTGGTAGAAATGGTTTAGCCTTATTGAACTAAAAGAATAATTCTTAAATACTAGAAAACAGCTCGATCGTCGGTGGAATTTAAAGGGTTCTTTGCATACTTTCAAACGATTCATTTTACTCGAAAAATGAAGGAAATGTTACAAAGCAGTCATAAAAATGTTATATATATATTAATATATATATATANTATATATATATACCGTATATTTAAAGATAATGCATATAAATTATTTTTAAATATACAATCAAATCTCGATATACTGCCCATAAACTGTCAATAAACACCTGTGAACACATCTTATCCATACATTTTTAAAAGAAAACATTTCAGTATCTGTGAATTACTAATGTACGAATTTGCATTGAAAAGCTGTTATCAGAAATCACAAGACTTAAACCTAAACTAGTGTACAGAATTCGTAGCTAATTCTTATTGTTTGAGGTACAGTACCAGTGCTTCGGTTTAGTGCGACTCCCGATTTAGTACCAATTTTAAAGGTGAACAAATCTGGCTTTAAATCGAAATCTAAATATGTTATATATATTTGGACATTCGCAGAAAATTTTCTAGGGGGCAAAGCTTGAGATAAATAATTACACCAGTAAATTTTTTAAAATTATTTAATTTTTGGGGTTTTTTCACAAGTAGATTATAGAATACACTATTGCATCAAAGCGTCCCATGATCGAGGGTGTAAGATTATATATCTCAATCACTTTCATGATTATAATTTGTAGAATTTTTTTACTCGATTCCAGGGAGTGACAAGTGTTCCTTACGCAGACGTCCATATATACCACGTATAACTTTGCATGAAGGTGCAAACAGTACTTATGACGCATATGTATATTTATAAGTCATTTATAAATTCTTATAAAGCAAATATGTATTAATTTATTTTATAAAATTAGTATAAATAAATAAAGAAAATCGGTACTTGAATTATCGTTATTATCATTATTATTACTGTATTAATATTTCTTTTTATTGAAGCAAGAAATTAATTTTCATACTACTTTCAAATCTTATTAGCCATATAATAATAACGCTTTAATATTAATCAGATCAATAATTAGTGCTATTTACAGAAGAATGTGACAACAAATAATTACAGAGAGAGAAATAAAATTAAAAAAAAAACTAAAATACATTTTCAAAGTTTTCTAATGATAAATGGTCACGCGAAATTACAATCAGGATCAAAGAAATAAAAAGACAAATCGACATTATTTATATTCGAATTTCTGATGAAACCTGATTTTCTTCTTTTTCCTCTTAGAATACATTTGTTTTATTCCATTTAAAAGCAAGATTTCCGGATACAATCAATAGATTTTGTCTTCAAATATTCAAAAAACAAAGATATAATTTAAAAATACATCCAAAGATTAATGTTTATATAATCTGTCCTCATCAGAGGAACGTGGTTTAAAGATGTCTTCGTACTTTTAAACGTGAGAATTTTCTGTACTTTCTTCGCATTCTGAAGATTTTAATAAGTCTTTATCGATGATATATTTCTTGAGCACGGGATTAGGTCTTTGGTGAAGACATAGACGATGTGTAGCTCTAGTCGAAGATCGGCTAGTTTCAGTTAATGTTGTAAAATCTGACATTCGATTAAATGTTGTGTCGTTCGGATGCCGCATTGACGGGCAACAAATGAAGAGTTTTCCTGCTAGCCAGTTGCACAGTGGAAGTTTTCTATGATAAAAATCAATATAAAAAACATCTTTAAGCTTAAATTCATCTCCTAAACAGCTAAATTCTAGTAAAACTAATTTAAAAAAAAAAACTATAGCTATCAACAGCTTGTTTCACCTTACTCAACATTTAAAAATGTGTATTTTTTTCCCTGAAATTCTTCTTCTTATTATTTTTTTATTTTTGTGTTAATGATGTTTATTTTGTACTCGAGTTGACAAATGGCCAAGTTGGAGATTATTCAGATAAACAACTGATATATGGTTAACATTATTCTTACAATCGACCTTAAATCACTTTTAAGTGGATATTTAAATAAAGAACGAATAGACGAATCATTGAAAAAACTGAGAGGAGGAGAAAAATATTTTGTTGCAACTACTTTATAAAAAGATTTATTATCTTTATAATGAATAATTAACCTAATTCTAAATTACTCAAATTTACTTAATTATTCCTTGACGTGGAGCGCTTTGTAATATGGCACGTCGAAAATTAAAGTTTGTTTATAACTTAATTTTTTACTAATTTATATTTAATAAAATGTAAACTCTAAAAAAGTTACTTTAAAATTATGTATTTAAATCAAAATTAAAGCAAAGAAGTCGTGATAAGTGTATATAAATCTTTATCAGTGGCGGATTTATCCGTTCGCATAGCTCGCAAACGAGAAGGACCCCGCAATTTCCAGGGGCCCCACATGGCTTTATTTATTTATTTATTTATTCGTATAATTTTAAGGAAAAATTTATGACTTAATAATTAAAAAGTTTAAATAAGGCTCGTTTACTTTCTATTTTATTTTATTGTAAATACTCAATTTTTATTTTTTTTCTACACGAATACTTCGAGAAGTAAAAAACAAAATTGGTGTACTAAAAAGTAAGTTAAGAGAATAAACTGATTTTAATGAAAAAAAATCAGTTTTCTTTTTATTAGCTTACAAAAATTTAATATTTTTAGACAAAAAAAAAGTTATTCATGGTATTTATTTATTTTCTTTTTACAAAAGAAACTTACTACTGTATTAGCAAGTGAGAAAGGCCTCCAATGCCTTAAATTCGCCACTGATCTTTATAGTGTATACAGATAGTTTTACATTAAGTAAAATCGAGATAATTAATTTACAATTAATTTTATACACAAAATAACGACATCTTTGCATTATATTATAATTAATTATTCATATTCCACCCACTGAAATACATTTCTTGAATTAGGAAATTTTATAGAAGATAAGAAAACAGATTAAGTGCAGTGCACATTCGCTTGGGATTGAAGTGGTAGAAGTGCTGTAAGATGTGAAGGATAGAAATATTAAAAAATTTTAAAATATCATCAAATAGGAATCAAATTATTAAAAAAAAACAATAATAATAGCTATAGAGTGGGAAAAATTCATTCTAAAACATGCTTAAAAATAATTATAATAAAGTGAAAATATTTCAATTGATCAAAGTTTTAATTTTAAATAAATCAATATTTAATTATTTTAAAATTAAAATTTTATTGCATGCTTTATAAATTGTGCAATTATAAATTAAATTTATTATTAAAAAATGAGAAGATCTTTTCAGATAAAGATGAGATTGGTTTGAAATTTCTCTTTTGTTTGTTAAATATGACGAATTTAGCAACAAACCAAGCTCATGTTATGTTAAAAGATCTCCTTTAGAGGTAAGGAACCGAGATGTCTGACCTCTACTTGCCTTAGATTCCGACACAATCGAGTTGAAAATAAACAATATATGATAGGATTAGCTGCACTATTTAAAGGGGCTAAGCTCTGTATGAATGTTGATACAGCAATCGACGTTTGATTTTCAGGAATGTATTCGTAAACTTGTAGAAGATCGTAGATAAAATAAGGGCTCCAACATAGAATAAAAACTGCAATAATATAAAATATCATTCAGGATGAATTATTTGAATTTTGAAATATTAAATCAATTTTTTTTCCTAAAAATACTGGTTGAAGCGGTAGCGACTCTAGTCTTCAACTTTTATCATAAAGAAAAGTAAAATTCGTTTTTTATCAATTTAAATTTTACATTGAAAATGTTGAAAACAAGATCAAAAGGCAAAATAGAAACATAAATTTGGTTGTCATTGATTCTTTTATCTCGACGTACAAAACGTGCTTAACGTTACTTCGAGGAAATGGTATTGTGAAGGCTAATTGAATTTATGACACACGCTCTTACCGAGAAATACAAAAATGGCCGAGAGAATTTTTACGAGAAATTTTATTTGGCAGGCGATAAATAATAGATATTTTAATAGATTAAAAAATAATAATAAATATTTCTTACCGAATACAATAACAAATGTCATTTTGACAGTTTTTATTTTTGCTTTAGGAATAATCCCACGAGAACTCGTACGTTTGCGTTCTAATTCGTTTTCTATGCACTTTTGTTTAACTGCGCTATCTAAAAATCATTAAATTGTAATCAATTCTACGCTAAGTTAATAATTTAAATAAAAAAGACTTCACCTTTAGATGAATGCGAAGATTTTGACAGCTTTGGATAAGTCATGATTTTGCTTTTGGTCCAAATAGTGTAGACAATGATACTGTAACAGGCAGAAATAATCAACGCCGGTATGAAAAATAAAGATATCGCTACCATTGTGATATACATCTGCCATTGCCATGTGTTTAGATCAATCCAACACTGCGGTCTTCCACGAATAAATTCTTCTTCGTTTAGAAAAATAGCGGGAATTGAAAGTAGTGCACTTAAACTCCAAGCTGAAGCTACCAATATTCTCGCTCTCTTCCCTGCAAAATAATTTTTTTATATTCATTCTTTAAATATTAAATAATATTTCTCCTAAATATTATTTAAAAAATAGGAAAATTTATAGACTAATAATTAAAATTTCTTTTCTATATTACAAATTTTTATATTTATTTTATTGCAGAAGTTTCAAATTCTTTCACTGAACGATCAGAAATACCATTATAATTTAATATAACTAATCAGTTAGTGGAATGTGGTATTTCCAACCACAGTAGTTAAACCTAACATTCTTTATCCATTAACTTAGGTGGATCAGTGGATAAAACAAATAGATCTAACGATTTTATAGCTAGTTACGATACATTGTTAGACCCCAATTTGCTAGACTTTGCTAGATCTTCACATTTAAATTAATTAATTAAATTAATTAATAAATGACAATATTTAGTAAAATAATATAGCAGTAAATAAATACATAGATATAATTATAACTAGCCTAAACACTTTCTTTATGTACAAATAATAAATGCAAACAGCGCAGTTCCTTTCAGTTTATTCTCCATACTGTGATATGTATGGAATCATAAATAATGTATAAGTCGAGATAAGAAATTAGTACTAATATTCGAATTATTAAAATATTTTAAAGTAATTATATATATAAGTTTTTAAGTATTTATAATTATCTTTAGTTCAGTATTTTTATTGATTATTGAGAGCCATCATTAATATTCTCTATAATGTCACGCAATGAAGTAATTCTATTATTTAAAATGCAATTTATCATTCAAATAATAAAAATATACATTTGTAATGTTTATATCCTACTAAATATTTTAAAATGTTATTTTTGTATCGCACCAAGAAATAATGGATATTTAAATACAAAAATATATTTATTTAAGTAAGACAAATGAAGGGAAACACTTTAAATATTAAATATCATATATTTATTTAAAAAATGATAATATAATTGAAGTTGTATGAATTCTACATAAACATTTTGCTAATTAAATGAAAATAGCCATTCAAAATTGTGAATTTTTATATTTAACAGTAAATTACACAATGCATTTAGATATAATTGCTGTATTATAGTTACTCGGCCTCATCCTATTAGTGATAATGCCACGCAACTATTATAATATTCATTATATCTAAATAATTAGTGAAATATGAACTACTTAATAATTATATTATTTATTGATAAATGTAATAAACTTTGAAGTTGATATAAAACTTAAAAGAAAAGTATTTAACTGAATATATATCGATTTCAGTAAAACTAATTAAATATTTAAGATATTAATCAGACTCAGAGATATGAGACAAGACCTGAAACGATCACAAATGTGAAGTCCCACCCTTTCTGAAAGCCATAAAAATACACGAATTAAATAAATAAAACTAATAAAAGCAATTTTTCATAATTTATTAAAAGTAACTTTAATTTATATCATTATTTACATAAAAGACAAATTTTAGAACTTTTCTATGTCGGAAACCCGGACCAAATGATCTTGCTAGTAATTGTTTATCCGAGTATGCACTGAAAATTTGATTGAAAAATAATAAAAGATACGTAAATAAATTCTTTTTTATTTCTCCAACCAATCAGTGTTAAGATAAACATATTTTTCATAAATCCTCGTTAAAGTATTTTGTCCATTATATCTTAAATACTTAGCTGATAACGATAGATGTTTTAAGATTATTTTTACTTTACTTCTTTTTTAAAAATTATATTTATTTTTAGAACACTGTATATAAGTCAAATCATAATATATTCTATTTATCTGAAATTTTTGAAGATTTTACGTAACTTTATAAATCTTGTTATATAGTATGGAGTAACATTAATTCATTTTAAAGGTAAATAACAAGATATGTTTATAAATAATATTTATATTGCATCCTTTCAAACAAAACTACTTCTCTTGAATAATTTCTCTACAGGATCAAAGAAACTTTTTATCAAAACAGAGTAAAGAAAGAGTATCTGTGCTGTTAACTGTGTTATCTATATATATTATAAGCTGTAATATATCTAAATTATTAAGTAAGTTGAAATTAGTTATATAAAATCGTAACAAAATATAAAAATAGTAAAAACGCTTTCACTCTAAAAAATTTATAAATCAGTAATACATATATCAATATTAAATGATCTCAATTTGAGTAATATAGCGCTAATTTAACTAATGTTAACGTCAGTTTTCTACGTTATACATTATGTTGGAAACTGACATTAACGTTAACTGATGTTACATGTAAGATTTTAAACATTTTATCATTTTTTCTATTTCTTTGCTTTCATTAATTTGTAAAACTATTCACGAGGATAACAAGAAAAGGCATTCGATTTTCTGCAAATCGAATTTTCTAATTGTCAAAGTTAATTTCTTATTTCTTTACAAAGTTCCCGTAAAGAAATAATAGAAAACTAAACTGTCTTTTCATTAATAATCGTAATTGTAATGAAAAAGATGACAGATTTTTTTGTTTTCTTTATTTTCATTATTCTTATTAAGTACAAAACAATATTTTTTGACTTACAATGAATAATTAAATACGATTATATAAATTATAATTATTTCATTAAAAACAATAAGAGCTTTATTGATTATTACGCTATATTTTAAGTAATATTTAATTATATTAATTTACGAAACACCTTTGATTACTTGTATATCTATGATTCTTCTTTATATAACTCGAAATTAACATGAAATATACCGTAAATGATCTTGATTTGATAGAATTATGTTTCACAATTTTGTAGCTTGCAGTTAATTCTTTTTCAATCAGTTTGCATTAAATATCGTATTTAGATTAATTTACAATTAATATTTAACTTTTTCTTTTTTATCAACTGATAATAGCGTTTAACTAGAGTAGGCCTACTGAAGTATCAATATTCAATTTGGACAATGAGTATTGATATTTCTATTGCAACCTAATTCGTATAAAGCAGAAGTGCATAACTATTCCTGTAAACAGTGTAAAGAAAAGCATATAGAAAAATTTCGCAAGACTTCACAACTTTAGAAATTTTCATTAACTTTTATTTAATTTTAAACGTTCTCGATATTTGAAACTATTTTAAAATATTGTGTAAATATAAGCATTACTGACCTATAAAATAGGTAAATGATTTAATCAGTGAATCCCTATTAGTAATATTTTTACGGACTCGATGCGATACTTTGTCGGATTTAAGATTAAGTGTTTCTATGTGGCAAGCAGTAAAACTAAGCAAACCAATAACATAGTCTGTCTCAGATGAAACGGACTACGTCATTGGTTTGCTTACTTAGCTGCTTGCTTTACGTTTTCAATAGAAATAGTGGTTACTAGAAACAACCACTATTTCTATTAAATCTACCTAACTCTGTTCTCAAGATTAAGGAAAGACAGCTGGACGGACGACAGTGGGAATTTATAGGTCTACAATTTTTTCACATTGCAGTCCAATTAAATTCAGTGAAATAATGAAGTTAATATTCGCATTGAAATGTTCTATTTACATTTTAAATGAAATAATAGAAGTGTTGAAACTAATTTCAAATACTTTTTGAAATTTACTTTTATATATTTTTTAAAATACAAAATATAGTATTTTTATAAGTCGAAATGACATTTATAAGACTTTAAATATTTTTATAAATATATTTAAATCTCTAGGAATACCAAGAAATGTCAAAGGCGGACTGTTATTTTACGCCAGTGCATTCAATGCATTATTGAGGAAGTTAATTAATTAATGTTTTTATTTAATTATATTTCTGCTTAATATAATAATGTTCATTAAACTTTACTTTTGTAAGAAATATAGTATTTCATTTTTTTAAAATTTAACTTACGTTTAAGCATATTAAGAAAAAAATGACGAAATGGTTAAGTTATAATTAATTTTATTATATTTTTGATATAAACTGTCGATTCTTTAATGTTACAGAATGATTTAATGTGGATTTAGTAGAAAATAAAACGGGAAAAATTTTGAAATATGTAAAATTGTAGCTGTTAATTAACTGTTAGCTACTTTTCATTACTAAATTACTTATTTTTATTGCTTCCACTTAATAACTTATTTAATTTTAGTATTCAAAGAAAGTAATAATTAAGTGTAATAATATTCTCTGTTTTATAGCTAAAGTAATTTATTAAAGCACGTAGTACATTTACAGAAAAGAAACTAAAATTTATTATATTCATTTAAGTAGTTAACTTTTTTCCATAAAATGTCAATATCTATTAAACATTAAAGGCTGATTTTTAAATAATTTATCAGTAACTTGATATATTAAAACAGTTTAAATTATTAAATTATTATTTTATTTTTAATAATATAAGAAAGGACTTTTAATATAGGCCTAGACAAATGAGACTGCAACATGCTTGAGTGATTTTCTGAGTTCATATTTTGCTACTTGACAATAGCCTGTTATAAAAAATTGTTTATTATAAAAATTTTTCACTTTTTGGTCCAAAATACTTTGCAATATACTTTTTACTCTTTCAAATTTATTTTGGTGCTTTTTGAGTATAACAATAATTTCGCATCGTTGGAGTTACATTGCCAGAGTAATCACTTGTCATCTTCCACACGTGACACAATAAATAATCAGTAGCAATGTAATGCATCTCATAGCCATTGCGTTAATAATCACGTATTACAAGGCCTTTCAGATGTCGAGAGAGAGAATCGCCATTTATCTTTTTGAGACCTCAATATATTATAAAAGTAAATATTGGACATTGCTTAATTTTTTAATAATAACATTTGATAAAATAAAAGATTTTTTTTATTACACAAGGATTGAATTGGATTGATGGAATAAAGCAACGCAACACCTGGGCAATCTGCCAAAGATGGGTTTCTCCCGCGGAGATTTTTATGTGAAACTGGCCCCTATTTAAATGTTAGACGCTTAAAGAAATACGAAAACTGCACGTGAGCAGCTCGTTAGTGAAACGTGAACCTGTGACCGATTACACACGTTCAATGGTTTTATCCACTAGGTCACCGATGGACTCTTAATATACAAGAAAAAACAATGTAATAAATTATTCATAACGAATTTTTTTGAGGCCCACGTAAATGTGCCAAATGCCAAATGGCCCTGCAACTAAATATTAAGTTATTATGGAAATGAAATAAAAATTTATAATACAAGATGTAAAAATTAAAATGCAGCAATTTGTACTGAGTGAATTTTTAAAATATTCATTAAATTACAACACAAATTAGAAGAAGTGTATACGTACTTACACTTATTTATTTATACTAATTTGTACGGAGTGTTTTATTTACTGTAATATAAGTATGTATATAGTCTACATATATAAGTATATAGGCCTATAATCTAATATAGATTATTCACATCTAGTTATCTAAATATATTAATATACAATCTGCTAAGTATATTTAAATATATTATTATCAATATATTCTCTACTAGCAAATGCATTTTGCTGCTGCTAGAGAAGAATATTTATTATGTCATTTGGAACTACAGAGAATATTTTTCATACAATTTAAGTTTTTATTTTAAAAGCTTTTTTATGATTCGTGATAAAATTATATTAGACATCAAAACTTACAAGTTAGTGTAATATTTAATATAATTTTTCGAAAAAATAAAAGTAAAAAAATCAATTTACGTAACGATTTTGAATTAACATTTTTCTTTATTAACTACTTTAAATTAGAAATAATTCTAAACGTTAATTTAAATAAATTTAATGCATATCATCCTTGGCTGTTTTAGGTTATGTAAATTTAGGCAAGCCTAAATTCGCTAGGTCTCTTTTATACAATGTTAACTAATGTATCAAGCAAAAATTTGATACTGTACAAGATCCAGAATCGTAGAGCTAACTGAAACTGGATTAAGACCGAGTATCGACAACCATATTTATATAACACAGCTCTAAAACAGCTAATATAAAGAATGAAGTATTAAAATGCAAAAATTAAGTATTCTAAAACAAAATTTCAAATTTTAAGTTTTTATATTTAACTTACAACTTCCTGAAAAGTTCATAGGATGGGTAATGGCATCATATCTGTCTATACTCAATGCCACTAGAACATATGTTGATGAATACGTAACTAATACCTAGACGGAAAAAATAAATAAAAAGTTAGTTACTATAAAATCTGGAAATATATTTGTTTATGTAAATTTTCTACATAAATATGCAAGAATAAATTTTATAGCTAAAAATTCGATCATTTTTACAAGACAAATTTACATATTGAAAAGAAACGAAAAATCTTGATGGTCCAAAATTCAGTTTACCACTGTAAAGACTAAATTTCTACTTTATTTAGATGTTTTATTAGTTACAAACCTTGTGAGTATTGTTTAAAATTAGCTCCATCTATTCAATGTACAAAGCTTCGACATATTTTCACAAATTACTGATTTTTTGCAAAAATTGCAGAATTATTTGAAATAAACACGGTTAACTAATTTCTGGACCATCGTTTACTTACAAAAATCAGTTATAACGACTAATATAAAGCAATTTATGTCATAATAATTATATAAATTTTAAAAATTCGCAAATCTAAGATAACTTATTTAGAATATTAAAAATGGAAACCGCAGAAAAAAAATTAATTTAAATTTCTAAAATAACAAGTTACTAATTTCATTTTTATTAAAATAATAATTTAAGGTAATAGGAGTATGTTGTTAAGTAAATAAATAAATAAAGAAATAAAACTGAAGGAAGTACAGAAATTCTCAAATTTCATCTCATTTCAAAGTTATTGATTTTAAAATGCTTTGTAAATTGCCAAGTGAACGTCTATTACGAGAGACGTTAAAACAGAAAAGCTGTCACATCTTTTCTCACGTCGTCCAGGGAATAATACCATAAATGACATATTTTCATGTTAATAGTGTAATGTTAATTAACTCGGATCAAATATCATTCTAGTAAAAATCTATCAAAAGATATAAAAACATCTGGTTTGATCTAAACTAAACAGTAAAATAATGTTTATGATAAAATTTATATGATATATATAACGAGATTTACTTTAATATGTTGTATTTTTTAGTGCATTTTAGGATATTTTAAACATGAAGTACCTTGCAGAGGGCCACTGACTAGAACTAAATAAATCAGTTTCGGAATGTAGAGAGGCAGTTATAAGCAATAGCAATATGATATTTTGATACTGATACAGATATTCTCTGCTTATTTTTTCATATTATACTTTTTGTCAAAGGTCTATTGCTATATATGTCTAATCCCTGGAGGCGTAATGGCATTTCCTTTCATTCTATTGTTCGATAAAATCCGAATGTTGACTTTTATCATCTTTAAACTGAAATCCTTGCAAACAACAAGATTTATAAAGTGTAATGTGTTTTTCCAAGTAGTAATCTCCTAGTAAACGAACTTATAATTTATTTTCTTTTTATTATTATTACTTTTTTAAAGTTAATTGTCATATTTATGTACTGTACTTTATCATTGTCTTTATGGTGAAGTACTGTACGTAAATGATATAATTAAATTTAAAATATATTAGGTTTTTATGTATTGAATACATAAAGCGATTAATTTTAACTAAGAAAAAAAAGTATATAGTATATAGAGTAGTTCAAAAGTTAGTTAACCAATTTTTGTGGTGTGTAGTCTAGATCGTGAATACGAACAAAATAATGTATAAAATTCATAATACAGAGTACTTCTGAATTTTATATATTAATATATATATAGGGTAACCCAAAAGTCAGGTAACTTTTTTGTAAATAATTCAACAATTTTGCAAGATTATCAATTTATGAAACTGTGTTAAATCGTTATAATTTGTATTCAATATATCGAAGAAGACACATTTCGTTTTGAACGATTTTTACAAAGTTTATAGATAACTTATTATAATAATAATTTTAGTCTTTTCATTGGTTAACTGACTTTTGGATTATGTATATTTGTCAGTATACAAAATTCATAATAGTCTTGAATTTTTTAAAATATTACTATCGATGTATATACTGTAGTGTAAAACGTGCCCCAAAAGTTAAGTAACTACTTTCTTTCAAACAATTCATAATTTCTGTAAGTAATAAAATATTTAACGGCAATGTAGTGCTTACGATAATTACTGACGTCTGAACCACCCTACATACAGTACTTTTAAGAGGCATTAAAATTTTTTTATTTAATGATAAAATGCTTTTTGAAAATTAATTTTAATTATAAGTTTAATTTAAAAATTAAATAAGGAATTAATACAGTAAATTTTCGCGTAATTAACTCAATTAAGCCTAGTTGATAAGTAAAGCAAATGTGAACTATATTGGTTCTAATTTAATATTAGAATCTAATTCTTGTTTGATTTCTGATAAGAAAGTTTGTAAGAAAAGAGAAAAAACAAAAACATAAAAGTAGATTTTTTTCTTTTTAATTTTTTTTATTGTCAGCTGGAAAATAACAATCATTAGACAAAATTCAATAGAAATTTAATGTGTGCCAACAACAATCAGCAACAACAACAATTTGTGAATTAAATGTATTAGTTAATTTTGATTTTTTTAATTTAAAATTAAATAAAATATTGTAAAAATGAATAAAGAAAATTAAGACAGGAATTTTTATTTACCAATTATTTTAAATGACTGCTTTCAAATTCTCTTCTTTAAATAATAAATGAACTATTAAAGACCATAGCAAAGAAATTAAATAATATTAAATGTATTTTATAAAATTAAAAAAATATCTGAAAATAAAATTTTTAGCAACTAAATTCTAGAAAGTTTAGCTTTTGTTAACTTTATTTATTTATGAAGAGGGATTCTAATGTTAAGGATTTCTATACTTATTTATTATTCAATAGTGAAGTGAAGTGAAAAACTAGGCATTTTTCTTGATTGCTACGCACTAAATCCTTCAAAATAAACGATATTTTAAATGTTCTCCTCAAAAAACCATAAAATTTCAACAACGATTCACAATGACCATTATAACTCAAGTCGAATGTTCTTTCAGTTGAGTGTCTCTAAGCTTCTATTCACTTCGATCGCTACATGAAAGCTTCAGACTATTTGCTCAATAAGAGGATTTCTTAAAAAGCTTACACGACTTTTGATAAACAATGTTATAATAATATATTTTTATATATCATTATAAACTCTTATATGCTAAATATATTCATATATTTATACACCCGAGAATAAAGANTTGTTAGGCTAAACATCAATGAAAATTCAACACGAAGTTGGTTAATAGCGATATACTAATAAACTAATTACATGGGATATACTAATATCCTAATATACTATACTAATAATGTATTTTTTTCCTTCTTTTCGGTTATCCGATTTTTTTCAGTTATCCGACCAACCTGAGTCCCCAATTGATGCTCTACTGTATTTTTATTAATCATGAATTGCAAAAAGGTAAGTGAAAAGCAACAGAAAACTAAAAAAATGACTAGAATCACAATGGAACTGAAAAAAAAGATTGTTGAGGAATATGAAGGTGGTATGCGTGGTTGAGATTTAACTGTTGCATTCCGTATTCTGAGAACGACTATATCGACAATCGTGAAAAATAAAGACATTATTAAATCTGCTAATGTTACGAAAGATGTTAAATCAATTTCTAAACAGAGATCGAAGACATTAGATCATGTGAGAAATTGCTTTTGCTTTGGATAACTGAAAAACAGTGTACTGGCGACAGCGTATCAGAAGCAATTATTTGCGAGAAAGCTAAAAAGATACATGCTGATCTCATGAAAAATCAAGCAGGAACTAGCCAGGAAAGCGAGGTGTTTAAAGCCAGCCATTTTGTTTTTACATGAGAACAGATTAATCATTTTTACATTACTTCTTATGGGAAAAGTTGGTATACATCCAATTCGGTATGAGTCCAAACATCAGGAACGGATTAAGGTCGTATACTGAGGTTCCACTGTACGTGACATTAAAGAAAGCCACAGTATTGAACACACATCACATTGTTAGGAAGTTTCTAGACATGGACACTTATACCAATAACACAGAAGCTTAATTTTACACTTATTTGGATAGTTATGTCTTGACTTTGGTATAGCACCAGTATCAGTGGAGCATGACATTTGCAACATTATTATTATTGTTGTTGTTGTTGTTGTTATACAATTAATATGATTGGAAAAAATAAATTTTATATTTAATAACGATAAATTGATAAAAAAAAATAACTAAAAATGTATATAAATACCTGCAGAAATTTGATCAGTTTACATACAACATTCCCTGCGTAAAATGCCACAGTAGTTCTCCAGATAATATCAGTCAGTACATTAATTAGACCGACTGTCAGATCTGTAAGAAAAAAGTAAAGTTTAAAGATTGTGATCGACAGTTTGAAAGAAAATAAAAAAAGTCTCAAATCCAAGTTTTAGTTTAACCAGAAATCTAGAAATACAAATATTTAATGGAATTTATTTACTTAACAAAGTGTTAGCGAAAAACTAAATTCGAAAGCAATTCTTTTATAGTTTAAATAAAGTTTATTAGGAACATTTTTTTTTTGAGTATTTAAAGTTAAAATATTGCTAGTGATAAATAATAAGAATTCATTTCATAATCTATATTTACAACTCCATTAACTTGTATTTACTTTCTACTCAAAAGTAATAGTTTTATGGGAAATTATCAGAATTATCAGATCATCTTCATCATATACTGATGCAATAACCGGATCTTCTAAAAAAATAATTTCTATTACAAAATGTTTTAGTGCCTTTTCTGAGTTGCGAACATTATTAAGAATGTAACATCATTCATACTAAAAATATTCTAAGTATAATTTTCTATTATAACTCCATCTTATCCATTTCCTGAAGTAGTATAAGTTTTCCGCGCTTCTTTCATGTATAAGAAAGATAATTATTATTTTTTTTTATTAAGTTATTCTTGAATATGTTTGTAAGAAACCCAAGAATTTATAAAAGCTCAGCATCAAAATCACGTGGCGATCAAAATTCTGATATGAATTAAATTAGCACACCAAAACCAAAATTGTCACATATTCTGGCATTTTTATGAAGATCTTAATAGCTAATGGCTAGAATTTTATTATAAAATCGAGAAAAATTATTTAAATTATTAATTTAGAAAAAGAAGAAAACACATTAAAGTGTAGATATTTTAAATGTGTTTTTAACATATAAGGTGACAGAAAACTCAATTAACCAAGACTATTACACAAATCAAGACAGCCCAAAAAATATAATTAGTAATAATTCGTATAAAATGAATGTTGTACATGGTATATTGAACAAAGCTTTTTAAAACTCTTTTAGCTGAAAATTACAATAAAACTTTCTTTAAAATGGCTAATTGATTTTGGCCACTCTTTGAGTTTGTTCGATGTCTTGATTGTTATCTGCATATTTATGTTAAATATACATTTTAATAACGTAGATTCCAATCAAAAAAGAATTAATGAAGTATTGCTCTTCATTAAATAAAACAAAAAATAATTGATTTATAAATTTTGCAAATTGGTTTTTGATATTTTAGCTTAAAACAATGTAAAACATTGTCTTAAAAATAGAATGCCGTCATTTCTTTTAAAATATAACATTATCGAACGCGTTTCTTTTTGACTAAATCATTAAATCATTAAAACTTTTCCTGAATGGATCTCTCGTATTAGAACGAATAATGAGTTTATAATTATTCAGAACTAATAATTAATAGTTTTAGAAGAAATTTTTTTTCTGTTTATTTTCGAAAATTTTCTTATTTTTTCTTATTTTTTAGATTTACATATTTCTTTTTACATCAATCTGAAATAAAAATCTAATTTTATGAAATTAACTTAAATCGATGTATTTATTTATTATTTTTTTAGCTAGAGAAATACAAACATTTAAACATTTTGTCGTTGAATTTCTATTTATAAAGATTTCATACAAAACGAGCAATTATTTATTGTGACGATGTCACAATAAATAATTGCTTGTTTTGTATGAAATCTTTATAAATAATGCCGGGCTGAAACTTTTAATTTATTTAATTTAAAATATATGCGCTCCACCTCAAATTAGTAGTGGCTTGCTCCTATACATCATATTTTTCCTTTAACAATAAAGTTGTGCTGATCATCTATCACCTTTAAGGGAAAATTTTTGAATTGAAATAACATGACCTCCTGTTTGCATCGGTTGTTTGTATATAGTTCATTGGGGCCTTCTGCCTCAAAGGTTTTCATATCTAAGCTCGTCTTTCATTTATCTAACTCCATTCTCGAGATTAAGGAAAGACGGACAAACGACTATGAGAATTTATAGGTCTATAATGTTTCCAAACTGTAGCCCAATTACATTTTTCCTATTTTAAAATCATATTTTTAAAATATATTTATTGTTAAAAAGTAAGAAATTAATCAAAAAGTTTGATATCTTAACGTCATTTTTTAATAAGAGCCAAATAGCTTTATTTAAAAAAACAAATTCTTCATAAAAAAGCACTAAAATATTAAATAAAAATAGAAAAAAATAGCTTATTTATTTTATAATTTTATCATTAATTTATTTTTCTACATACAAATTATATTAGGCTACTTTAAATAACTAGATAAATGTATGTTTTTAATTATAAAACGTATTAAAAAATACAGTTTATGTATTATATATGAAATTGTTATAATGTAGATTATGAATCATAATGTTAATTAAATCATGAACATAATTCTTCATTCAGACAACAACCCGCTTTTACGACTAGTATCAATATTCTACTATTAGTATATACAATCACATATTTAAGAACCATATTTACTTTTCGTTCATCTCAGTATAATATTATATATATTGTATATTTTTAAACTGATTTCCAGAAACGTAATATCAATTCACGACATTGAGTTAAAGGGAGATGAAAGACTCACTTTATGACGGATTGCTTTGCTTATAGATCGTATTTTAAGATGACAATTAGGTCGTAAAAATCGATTCTACTGTATAAATATCAATTATTGAGTGTATCGATTGTCGCTGGAAAAGTTACTAAAAATGTTTTAAAAAAATAGTTTTACATAATTTTTCGTAAATCTTTTGGAAATTTAATAGGGATAGGCTATACTTGAATAAATCCAAACTAAGAAAAACAAAAAAATAATTTAAAATATTTTAAAATCTATTTTGAATTTTTTTAAAAATTGTTTAATGTATTTAAAAAGTATATTTCAAATACAATTTATAAAAATTAATATATTTTGTATTAAATGCTATGAAGGATAATTATCATTAGAAAATTGTAAATAAATTGTAATTTTCACATAAAATTATTTTTAATAACATAATTTTTGCTTTTTCCATTGAAAAATTTTCATATCAGATTTTTAGTGATTTTAAATCGCCACGATTATTATTGTATCGGGATTCTAATCGTGCCAGAATTTTGGTTATCATGATTTTCTTCATGTTCGGATTTAGATCTATCGGAGTTCTGATCGTGTCGGGATTTTGTTTTATCGGAATTCTGAGTTTTCAGGATTTTAACCTGTCGTGATTTTATTTTAGTGGGAATTATGAATTATCAGAATTTTGATTGTGTAATATTTAGGTTTATATGAATCCAAATGCTGTTAGGATTTTGCTCTATTCAGACCGTAACAGTGTTAGGATTTGCTGTATTGGGATTCTGGTGGTGTCAGGATTCTGGTGCTTTCAAAATTTAATTTTATCCGAATCCTAATTATGTCAAGATTTTAACTATCATTCTTTTCTGATTTGTCATGATTCTGATGGTATCTTAAACTTAAGCTTGGTAAATTTTGTTTCTTAATTTAGAAACTTATTTATACAATTAAATATCAAAACAAATTCAAAAAGAAAAACATTAATGAAATTGATCTTTAATGCACTTTTAAAAGTTTAAAAAAAATCAATATTAGTTAATATTTTAATTAAAATAACTATTGTTATTTTTTAACTATAATTATATAAATTTTATGAAGAGGAAAAAAATCTTGTAAAAATAAATGTTGTAAAAAAATCTTGATGAAATTTGCTGACAGAGAAATATTCTATGCATTATATTGAAACTCTTTCAATTAAATTTCTTAAAATTACTTTCTAAAAAATTTTTAAAGATATTATGAATTCCAGAATTGTTTTGGTTAATTTTGATTTTAAAAAAGGAAATTAAATAAAAAAGACAAGATTAAATTTTCTGAAACTTCTTGAATTAACCGTCAAAATCTATTTTCTGAAAGTTTATCATTTTCTTTACAATTAAGAAGAATATTTTTCGGCATTATCTGAAAGCGACCATTACAAAACATTTTTCTAAAGCTTTTGTCTTCGAAAATGTTTTAAAGTTTCCAGCTTTTTTCATGATTGCACTTGCAAATCTCATTATAATAACAAATAAATTTATTTATAAACGAAAAAATAAAAATAAAACTTAAAAATAATGCTTTAACGTAAAAATTTAGATATTCAAAGATTTAAAACTTTATAAAAATTTATTCTTATTATTTTAATTTAAAATGTTCTATGGATATTTGGCATAAGGAAAAGTATCACAGAATAACAATTAAATTCAGTTATAAAATAAAGTATATCAAGAATTTATCTCAAGAAATTATTTTTAAACGTATTTAAACGTTAAAAGTACATAAAAAATGGCTTTCTTTGTAATTTTTCTAAAAATTAAAGTGATTTCTCGATATTTTTAGTGTAAGGAAAGTACGAAAAATAACATAAACGTGGTTTTAAAATGTCTTGCAAAACTTTTCAATGTTTATTTATCTAACAAAACTGTCACAAAATAATTCATTTTAAAGTTTTACTAATATTGATTTATAAAATAAATATTTTTCATGAAGACTAGAAAGAATTTTTCAATAAACTTTATAATATAAATCCCTAAAAAAGAAGAGAGAGAAGAAAATAGATACATATCTCTGAGATATCTTTTACTTGAAATTCAGAAAGACTGTTTCAACAAATATGGAATAACCATGACGAATTCAAAATATTTTTACTTAGATCTATTCAAAAGAGTAAAAATATAAACGATCCATATATATTGCTGGCAATATGAGATTTTCTTAAAAGTTTGGTATTTTGTATTTCCCTGTTTTATATAGGATAAAAAGGTGACTTTTCCGATTATCTATAACCATGGCCAGATTTAGACTTGTTGAGACCCTAAGCCAGAAGCGGAGAACTTGAGGTATACAGACTATACGTGGCCTTTTCTGGCTTCTAATATGGTCTGATATAATATAAAATAATACGAGTTGAAATTACTGCCGTGAATTTTGAGTTATGAAAATGCTTTTTATTCCTTTTTAAATAAAAATTTCTATTTAAATACAATACAATATATATGGATATTTTCGTGTATGTATGACGAATGTATAGGCCTACATTTTTATATAACCTGTAACTAGCTCGCTCATTTTAAACCAATTAAAACAACATTCCATTTCATATAAATCTCATAAAGATTCCTATGAAATGTGATGTGGTCTTTTGATTAAAAATGGTTCCTCCCCTTCGTTCTAAGCTATAATGTATAAGCGGCCTTTCTTCTTCACTAAATTATAATGAATTTAAAAGCACTAGACCTTAAATTATTTCGTAAAACGAGATCCTAAGCTATATTTTGTTAAACTTATGTAAATCTAGTCCAAAACTTATGTTTATAACAATATCCTTAGATTAAAACATCAGCACTGAAGAAACTGTGAAAGAATATAAATTTTGCAATGATCCTTTATCTTTTTTATTAGCCATTTTGTTACCTGCAATACCAAACTTTGATTACTTTCTTTCCACCATAATTTGTAAAAATGAAATTAAAAAGGAACTTACCTGCTAAAGCTAGATGCATGATGAAAAAGTTCATTCGGGATTTACGATTTTTTGATAGCGATAAAGCAACCAAAACTGCTGTATTTCCAACTACAATCATTGTAAATAAAATCCACAAAAATGTCAATTGCTCAGTCTGTAAATAAATAATTCATATTAATTTTCTTTCCTTTTTTTTCTTTCTTTTCATATTTAAAATTATATCAAATCAGAAAAAATAAAGCTCGCTTCACTATCCCATAAGTGAATTTCTCAATTCTTTGTAGTACAAAATATGTCATATTGGTCGTCATGACGACCACTTCTATAGAAAGTAAAGACGATTGATTGAGTACAATCTAGAAAGCTTCCATTACATCATGTACAAATCTGGAACTTTATCTCCCTTCAAAAATCTATTTTGGCCTCATTTTTCTCTTTCTTTGTTTATTACATAATATACATTAATGTATTTTTCATTAAAAATTCCAAATTTAACATTCAAAAACTTTAATATTACATTTAAATCAATTAAAATGAAATCGAAAGCGATTCATAATGTGAAATGCTCATTAAAAATTATTTTTCAACTTAATTTTGATTGATTATTAAACTGAAAATTCTAAGTTAATTACTTTATTATACAACTGAATATTTAAAATTAATAATAATATATTTATTTTATTCTTATAAAATTTTAATAGTAAAATATCTCATCTTAGTTCATCACATTTATCATTGAGTATCCTATTTACATCCCAAAGAAAATAAATCAAAGCTACAATAAATCTATTCTTGAAAGAATGATCATCAAAAATTTAGAAAAAAACCTTTTTTTCTGTTCCAGAAACCTTATTTGCTTCATTTATTTTACCATCATTATCAAGAAAAAATTTATTTTTCTTCGGCTATTTGATAATGAATCACTTTTTTTACAAATGAGTTTTTGATTACGGGTGTGTTTTTTGTTAAAAATCCCTTTATTATTATTGAAATTACTGTATAAAATATTAAATTTATTCTGTTAGAAGGTTAGTGATGGTGACCGCGATCTCTTGCTGATGTGATAAATATAGATATTGACTGCTGTAGAGATGTATTGCGACTCTAGCATTCAGTTGAAACCGCTCTCATCTGATGTATCAAAGACATTAAATTACTAAGTTCAGCTTTAAAAAAATTATATTAATTTACGACCAAAGTTTTACTTTTAAAATTAAATTTCAAATATATTTTCGCTTGAATCAACATTAAATGTTAACTCGATGATAATCCTTAAGATATTAAATACTTTTTAATATTGATGAAGAAAATATAACTCTCTCTATTCTTTCAAATTCTTTACAGTTTAAAATTCACCATTAAATATTTAATTCGTCTCTTTTCAATATAAAATTGCAATAAAATTCTAATAAAAATGGAATTTCTTTGAAGCTTTGTGTAACGTTAAGTACGATTCTTATGAATAAGATATTTAGAAGATGAGAGATGATGAAGAAAACAGTCATTTGTAATTTAAAAAAAAAAACGACATTTAATTTTTTTATATTTCATTTAATTATGAAATTAAGGTGTAATGTAAATTAATTTTTAAATAAGGATTTAGTTTTATTGCTTTTATTGTAATATATGTTATAAAATTTTATTTACTTCAATGAAGTTTCATCTTAGATGTAGTCATACATCTTTTAGATTCTGAGAGAGATTACACATGAAATTTTCAATAATGATACCTTTCTACAGTAGTTGAATCATAGAAAAATATAAAATTTCTTTCTTTTTCTACTTTCTTGCACTTCTTTTTCCAGAAGTAATAAAGCAAAACTTGAATTTAGAAAGAGAAGATTCATATTTTCTCCGTTATATTTACTACATAAAATATATTCTATTCATAAAAAAGTAGGAGTTAGATTTCGAAGAGAATTCACATTTTAAGAAATTTTGAATGTGATGTTTACGTGTTTATGGTCAACATTAATCTGATTCCATCATAAACGAGGAAAGAGGTTAAAAAAATTTTTGTTTTCGCATCATGACACTGATTACTCTTCAGCAACTCGGAACCGGAAACGGAAGTTATTAAAAGTTTAAAAAACAAGTACTTAAATTATGGACACATTTTTTGCATTTTTCTTCGAAATTATGAATAATTTCGTGCTAAACATTTTTATTAAAAAAAAAATAATATAAGCCTGCCCAAAAGTCAGTTAACCAAAAAATTTCAAACTAATTTTAAACAATTGCATATTATTATTCCTACAATGATTGTAAAATATATCCTGGTTACCTGATTTTTGGACTAACCTGTATGATGTGATCATAATTTCTATAAAAATATAAAAAATAGTTTTATTAAGTAGTTATAGGATAAATATAGCAATGATCGACATTGATATAAATTTTTCATTTTTTTTATGAGTGTTAAGATATATGAATACTGACTAGTTATTCTCTATAGCAATTTTATTAGTGGCCTGTGAATTGATAGTAGTCTATCGAGGAGTTAACCAAGTTATTCATTCATCACCATTATGTGTATGTATAACATTATTAATAGTAAAATAATTTGTAAGTGTTCATTTAAGCTTATCCTTTATGATACAATTTTTATTAAATATAATATAAACAAATATAAATGTGCCACTGAACCGTAAATGGTACAGTACACTGTATTTTTAAATTAGTTTTGTAAACAAACGATAAAAAGTTTTAACATAAACGTATTGAAATAATTTGCATAAACAATAAAGAAATTTTAATTTAATTTAGCATTTAATTTAGGTAAATTAGTTCTATCCGTCACATTAAAATTGGCTTTATTAGATTGCATTTAGTATAAATTGTTTTTATTGAAGTATGTAAAAGATACCCCAAAAATTAGTTAACCAAGACATGTTTTTATTTAACTGTTCCAAACCGGTTTTAACCGTTATTAAAATAACCTTGTCTTAACTGACTTTTGGGCTGTCTTATATTCAAAATAAGTATATTTATTTTTAAAACGTGTGATTTAATTAATAGTTTTTATTAAATGCCCGATAAATTTCATTCATAAAATATAATAAAGTATAAAAAGTTCTCCCTTTTAAAAGTGATTTTTACTTTATTTTAGTTTGAGTATAAACAATTCGTTATAAAACTTTAAAAGTTTGTTTGATTGTCTGTTCAATCAGGAATTCTCCTTAAATGGAAGAAAATACAATCTTAGATTTACTATGGACTCAATTTTCTATTAAACAAAGTAAAAACTTTAATTGGCATCAAACAATTAGAAGCATAACGTTTCTGATTTGCAGAATATATCGAGAGATTTCAATTTCCGAATTATTAATTACTTTACATAATTTTAATTAAATCTGATTATAGTTTCAAATAATTAAAAATTGATTATATTTAATTCGAATAATTAAATCAATATTTTAATTTTTAAACATTACTCACTTTTCTTGGTTTAGAGTGTAACTTATTGAGTATTGAAAATTTAAGAAAGTTTATGAAATATATTCTGATATACTACTGTTGATTTTATAGATTTTTTACCTTTTTTAAGAAATTGACTCTTCTAATGCCTTAAAGACCAAAGCAATGACAGATAAATCCTTTAATAGAACTTGACATATGTTATGCAGGTGTTGCAACAGATATTTTTCTTAATGCTTTGCTGGAGATAACAATCAAACAAAACAATTTAAAACATTTTCTGTCACCATTCTTATTCAGCAATCCCCATTTTTATAATTGATTTCAGTTTATTTGTCTACCGATGACCCGATTCGAAAATTCCTTATTTAGGAATTATTATATTTTGTAACTCCATTCATAAAAGCCTTTATTGATGTTATTTTTTTTTAAACTATATCACAGCTCTGTTCTCCTTACAAGTTAGTACCACTCTGTATTATTTTATTAAAGGCTTAAATATTTTTTAATTAATGAATTTCAGTGATTTTCTATAATATTTAGTGGTTTATTTATGTAATGTATCTCTTATGAAAAATTCAGATGTAAAACAAAATCTAGACCAACATAGGATGTAATGAGATAGAGAAATGATGATCAGTTAACAAGGGAAAAACAAATATTTTTTAACTATATCATAATATGTTCTTTCGAATATCACTTCATATCTTTCGTTAAATATTTAGATATTTTTAAATTAATGAATTATAGCAATTCTGTCTAATATTTAATATCTTATTTATATATTTCTTACAGAAAATTCAGATATAAAACTAGATCTAGGTCAACATAGGACTATAATGGAATCAGAAAATGATCATCAGTTAGTAGAACCAAAACAAAATTTTAAAAAATTCTTCTTCCTTTACTTTTTGCAAGACAGAAAAATATTAAGAAATCAAACAATATGTTTAAAAAAATGAAATAAAATTTATCTAATTTCTTTTGACGTTTTCGTAAAAGATAATAATTCAACAAATCAAAGATTATTTTTTTTATATAAAATTTTTCTAGAGAAAGTAATTCTAGAAATCAAAGAATTAAATAATTTAGAACGGTTATAAAAATTTATTTACTTCAATGAAGTTTCATCTTAGATGTAGTCATACATCTTTTAGATTCTGAGAGAGATTACACATGAAATTTTCAATAATGATACCTTTCTACAGTAGTTGAATCATAGAAAAATATAAAATTTCTTTCTTTTTCTACTTTCTTGCACTTCTTTTTCCAGAAGTAATAAAGCAAAACTTGAATTTAGAAAGAGAAGATTCATATTTTCTCCGTTATATTTACTACATAAAATATATTCTATTCATAAAAAAGTAGGAGTTAGATTTCGAAGAGAATTCACATTTTAAGAAATTTTGAATGTGATGTTTACGTGTTTATGGTCAACATTAATCTGATTCCATCATAAACGAGGAAAGAGGTTAAAAAAATTTTTGTTTTCGCATCATGACACTGATTACTCTTCAGCAACTCGGAACCGGAAACGGAAGTTATTAAAAGTTTAAAAAACAAGTACTTAAATGATGGACACATTTTTTGCATTTTTCTTCGAAATTATGAATAATTTCGTGCTAAACATTTTTATTAAAAAAAAAATAATATAAGCCTGCCCAAAAGTCAGTTAACCAAAAAATTTCAAACTAATTTTAAACAATTGCATATTATTATTCCTACAATGATTGTAAAATATATCCTGGTTACCTGATTTTTGGACTAACCTGTATGATGTGATCATAATTTCTATAAAAATATAAAAAATAGTTTTATTAAGTAGTTATAGGATAAATATAGCAATGATCGACATTGATATAAATTTTTCATT